TAAACCCTTAATCTCTTGAAACGGCTGGTTACGAGGGGGCACCAGCCCGGCACCGCGGAGGGACTGCAGGTCCCCGTCCCCAGCACACCCCTACGAGCGCATCATCTCCAGCCCAGCGAGGGAGACGGGAGCGCCGGCAGGACAGCGCTGCGTGGCCGGGCCCAAACCCGGCCGCTTCTCCCTGCGGCCCGCTTCCTTCAGGAACACGCCAGGAATTTGGGCCCGAGCGCAGCAGCTGCCTCGTCACCTCCTTCCCTCGGCTGGGAGCTTCCAGGAGCAAACTGCAGCCCACAAAACCACCGCTCCTCCTCGTGGTTTTGGCCCTGGCTGCCATAAGGCGGATGGCAGCTAATCGGCAATAAAAAGGGCGAGATCGTCAGTGCCGGCCCCGCGGATTTGAGAAAAATCCATTCTCGCCGTAAATGACGGCGCCAAGTCCAGGGCGAGCCCCCCGGGGCAGAGACACACGCACGTATGAGCCGACACCGGCCTCTCACCCCAGACTGTGACAAACAGGCACATTTGTGGATAATCCCCGGATGACTGGAATTCCCCCCCTTTCTCCCCAGCTCGGCCATTCAGGCTGGCGAGGAGGGCGCGAGGCGGCCGCCGCGCAGCGAGCGCGCTCTGGATCAAGGGCGGCCGTCATTCCTGTCAAGTCAGCCATGAAACGCGATGCGGAGCTGGTGCCAGCTTTATGCTTTTTTTTTTTTGCAAACTGGGGAAGATGGATGGTCTTGCACAAAGCTTGGGCTTCGCGTAGGGCTGACGGAACGGGACCCAGCCCGAGCCTGATGTTCAAAAGTTAATCCACCCGTGTTTTCCAGCAGATGGGTCCAGGCGCAGCAACCTGATACCGGCTCAACCTTTTGTCTCTGCTTTTTTTATTCACTGGCACGTCTAAAGCACGATTTTCTCAATCTTCACACCACAGCCTAATTCTGGCTGAGTCACTGCCTTCAAATATGGTTTGCGAGCCACATTTTTTTTGCATGAGGTCTCCTAATTATAAAAAAGGATATAATACTAATTACATGCTTATCTTGTAGGCAGGATGTAAAGTTTAATTAGCTGTCATTTACGCCATATGCATACAGCCCTATAAAAGCACTAGATATTATTTGGATTACGCTCCTTAATTCTACACTGTACAAAGCCACAGGAGCACATATTTTGGTTTTATCCTTCTACATTGCCATTGTTCGTATTAAAAGAGCATTCCAGCACTTACAGCTAATAGAGAAGAGCGTGTAACTAGATTTATAGGACACCGCCTTAGAGGATCAGAACATTTGGGGCTGGAAACTGAGTTTCTTTCACCACCTTTCCAGAACCACAGAAAGTAACGATGCTCAGACTGTCATTTTCTGATGAGGACAGAATCGAGGCATTGACAAAGCTCTGTCACACATGAAATACCACATACGCCAGAGGTCTGGAACCGAGGCCTGGGGCAGGCAGCGATTAATGCACCAGATCAAGGACCCGTCTCCCCTTTTTCCAGCTTACACTGCATTCATCAGGATACGCTCGTGTTTGAGCTCCGAGTGTGGGAGCAGAGCAGGGTAGCAGGCACTGGGGAGGAACAGCCATGGACATCTTCCAGCCCAGTTTTGCTAGGATTGTGCATCCAAACTGTAAAAGAATACCACCGAAAGGAAAAATAAGCAAACAAAACAAAAATCCCAGACTTGCACATCCTCCTGCCTGTAGCTAATAGCTTGCATCCCTCTGCAATCCCCATGTATTTGCCTGCCGGCTTTGATTTATTTTTTTAAGCAACTTGGTTGTCTCACCTCCAAGTGAGCTAAGTCAATTGGATGCTGTGTAGGGGTCCAGTAATACTGCCATTTAAACCGACAGAAACCTG